AAAAAAAAAAAAAAAAAAGAAGTGATGGTTAAGTCAGTGCATGAGTAAATTCCATCATGAGCCCTCAAAGCATGGACCTGTACAGTGTAATCAGTATTGGACAAGTCGGGATTCTCAAGGACTGACACACCTCAGTGGAATCAAGTTGTTATCCATGCTAAAAAGGAGGGGCCATTTGTACCAAAATAAAATGTATGCTTCCTAAAAAGAGTTCACTTCTCCCCTATACCTGCATACATTTTCTTTTGTCCTCTTCACTTTTGTAGGAGTACAGCATCTCCATCAGATGATTTGGGAGCAGCTTGTGGAGGTTAGATAGAGTCTTAAAGGTGTGATGCAGAACTTCAGGATCACCATAATGTTTCACCTTCTGATTTCTGTCAAGGGGTGGAAATTTCCTTTTAATTTGAGTATTGCTAGCTGTTTCCATGATGACCCAATGAGTTACAGAGAGAAATAGAGAATTTGAAGAGTAGTCACTTGCTATTGGTTTTCTTTGAGCTTTCCTCCATCTCTAAGAAGGCATCATTGAACCTCTTTTCTGATCTCTCTTGCTGAGCATTCTGAGGGTCACAATGGCCAAGATGTTAGCCTAGAACCCTGAGCATCAACTGAGAAAGCCAGTCTATCAAAAACATCCTGCCAGGTCTTATAGCAATTTCAGATAGAAACTCTAGTTCTCTGTCTGGACAGGGAGAATTTCTAAGGAAAACAAAGTGTATTTTCCTGAAGGAAAGTGTGGAAGCAGGGTGAGCACATCCTAGTGATTTTTCTCTGCCCCACATTAAGTAGAGGCCTTGCTCCCTGTGTGAACATAATTAAGACTCCACAGACTTGTAAGCCTCAGGAGAGTGGTTACATCAGCAAAGTCCTCAAGCAGAACCAAGGAAAGTGCTTCTTCATCCAAAATTGAGGATATGTCCAGATTAACACAGGTGAGATACCAAAGACCTTCTGATTCTCTTATCCAAACTAACACTGAAGCAAAATAAAGTAAGTCAACAAAAATGGTCAGTTCTAGCTTTACTGGTAGGAGCCATACTTCTTTGTAGACAAAAGAGCAGAGGACAACACAAGAACTGGAAACCCAAGGAGGGGTCGCTATGAGTTGGGGCCGACTTGACAGCACATAACAGCAACAACAACAACCTGGCAGATAAATCTTTTAGCAATGGATAAGTCTTCTTCTAACAGTTAACCCCACTAATTTTCTCTAGTTATGGTGTATGAGAAAGAACACCATTTGGGATGTGAGTTAACAGTCGTGAGTGAAGGTTGGTCAAAGTTTGGCTGCTATGGGATCTTCATCTCTGCCTACCCAAGTCTCAGCCTATGGTACTAACATTCTTTGATGATATAAATGCTTCCATCTTGTATCTGATCCACTTATTTCCAATTCTATTCTTCAGAAACCAATATATTTACTTTTCAAAGTTTTTAATATATTATATTCTCATGAGAAAAGACTCAAAAGAATCTTCCCAAGCCTGAGTTCCTTCTCTTATTGTGATGAGGAGTTGCTATGTAGGGCCAGATGTGTGCTTAGGTGTTTGCAGCATGCTATTAACTAAATTGCTCCCACAGCAGAGCAGTTGCAGGATGCTCGCTTGTTTTTCTAGTTAGGTTGATCTTTCACTCGTGGCTTTTAGGCAAAAGGCATTCCTTTATTATTATTATTATTATTCCAAAGAGGGCTATTGTGTCTCCTGGACACGTTACCGTTCCCCTCTGCCATGGTGGATGTGACAAGATCAGCTGGCTTCTAGAAGGCAAAGTATTCAGTAATGTTCAAAGAGAGAAGATCATCTCCAAGTTTCTTAAAGAAAGTGTTCTAAAGAGAGTGTTGCACTCACAGCAAATGAGGTGGGATGGTCCTGACTTCAAAGAAGAAGATCCAAGCTATAGCTTTCCTGGCACCAGAAAGTAAGTTTTAATACTGAAACTTAAACCAAAATTTCAAGCAAGTTAGTTATATAAGGTAGGAAAACACAACTACTGAAAGTATAGGCATCTGAAGGAGGATTTACAGGAATCAAGTCTTACAGAAAGATCCAAATAATGAAGGAAATAAAAGATTGAGAATGTATTAAAAAGTGCTAGTTGCTACATATACAGACATAGAATTTACTACTATATATGTTAATTGTATTTTTTCCTTTTGGGAATATGTTCATAACATCACTAATTTACTCATCCTAGGAGCAGATTTTAAACAAGGTCTCTTACAATTAAAATAATAATAAAAATAAAGTGACCCTCACAAGATAAAGGAAAAAAATGTTAAAGGTTAATTTTGAAAACAAAACTACAAACTAGAGAATATTTTCATGAATATTTCTTTAAAAGACATTATACAAACACAAGTAAACTAGACTATTTCAGATGATGCTTATAGAAATGGAGAGCTAAACTGGGATCAACATAATTGGCTATTACTGAAAGACAAAGCAGAGTCTGGAAAAGGGTGGGGTGGTGGCGGTGGGGATACCAGTTAGCTAAACCATCTGCTCAGAACAAATTGCCTGCAATTGAACTGAACTATTTCCCATTGACTTAACATGTTATTTACATGAAAGCATGTTAATAAATAGAAAATAATGTCCTGACTTTCTGAAAATGTTTACATAATAACACTGAAAAAGATTATGTGTAGTACTCAACCACACATGACCTTGGCAATATTATAGGGGGAAAAAATAAAAGGAGGTGGAAGCAAAAGCACTGGCAATATAGAAATATGAAAGTATGGAAAAAGACAGACTGAAACAGAAGAGTAACTAGAAACTAAGAAATGTTGCTATTGACATATTTTTGTATAACCTTGGATAATGAAAAGGAACGTATATCAAAGTGGTTTTCAAAATAGTTATCTGGTAGTCAATATTGTCACTTTTGCCATAACAGGAAAAACTGAGGTGGGTAGTAAAGCATGCTTACTGGACCTACTTAGTGATGGGCTCCAAGGTTTTCCTTCCGTTCCACCAATTTAGATCGAATAAAAAACATGCCGTTGAGTCAATTTCGACTCACAGTGACCCCTCCTTGGGTTTCCAAGGCTATAACTCTATGGAAGTAGATTGCCCAATCTTTCTTCCAAGGAGTGGCTTCCCTTGTAATTAATGTACACACACAGACAACTAGTTGCTTTCAAGTCAGCTCTGACTCATGATGACCTCCTATGTGTCAGAGTAAAATACTCAATGGCTGAGTTTTCAGAAGCAGAAAGCAGAAAAAGGGAATACCTGCAAGAGAAATGGATTGACACAGTGGCTACAGTGATGGGATAAAATGTAGCAAGGATTGTGAGGATGCCTCAAGACCTGCAGTGTTTCGTTGTGTTGTCCATAGGGTTGGTATGAGTCAGAGCCAACTCTATAGCACCTAACAAAAACACCACCACCTCCACAAGGCCATGTACCTTATTTACATTATTAGCGAGCTATCTAATCCCCTTGGTGAACCACAAGTATCTTACATTTGCATAGTTTCTAATACATTTGACTGCTAACCAGAAGTTTGGTGGTTCAAACTCACCAGCCACTCCTTGAAAGGAAGATTGGGCAATCTACTTCTGCAGTGATACCACCTTGGAAACCCAAGGAAGGGTCACTATGAGTCCAATCTGACTTGATGGCAGTGAGGGTTTTTTTT